GGGGGGGTGAGGTGTTGGAGCCTTCTGGGCCCTGTTCTTCTGATGGCTTTCAGCAGTTCGGTAGCAGGCCAGCCACTCCCAGCGAAACAGGAGCCTGTTTCTAAAACTAGCGGATTTCTCGTTAATCCTAGTTTCTGAAGCATCGCGGAGTGGTACAGAACGGTCGTGGAGGGAGACACCAGATTGCTGATGTTAGCTGTGCAAGATGTAATTGCTGGAGCACGTCTTGCCAAGGCTGAAAGTTCTGCCAGTGCACCTATGTGATCATTACTACTGCGGCTTTAATTAACCATCAGCGGTTTAACTGCGTCTTCGTTGTGTGGTGTGTCAGTAGTTACATGTTTGTTTGTGCCCCTGTTGGTCTCCCAAATACTGCAGGAAGCAATACTGCTTGCTCTGTGGTGGTCACTTCTATACAACTTGTCGTAGTTTCATGTAATGCGAAAGGGCATAAAAATGTGTTTTGCACTTCTCAAGGCTTGTTTAAAATACATATGTTTATGTATGCACGCAGGGGAAAATCTGCTTTGTAGTTCTTCAAAGTCTTTAAAATATGTGTGTGTATTCATGTACGTACACATAGAACTTGAAGTCCTTTCGAACAATTTATTTCATTGATCAAAAAGTTTTGTGACTGTAAATGGTGGATGTGTGAGTCACATTATGGCCAGTTAGCCACATGGTATTAGTTTTTGACTGCTACTGCCAAAAACTGTTCCTGATGGTGGTTGAAACAGTATGTAAAGCCATCAGTGAAAAAAAAAAACCCCAACGCTAAAGAAAACCGAATCAAATAAAACCGTGTTTGTGTTTCCAGAATCTCTGCCACCTTCCTGAAGTGGTGGGTATCATCTCTGGCTTTGAGCAGACATAGGAAATGAGCCACCTGCCTTAGCACCCTTTATCTGTAAAACATGAGGCTGTTATTTTCCAGACTTCTGTTAAATACTTTTGTATTTGTATGAACTAGGGAGGCTCCATACTGTTATTTCCATGATGCTTTAAATGTGAGGAAGAGTATTTTACTCTTCCATTGCTTATTAACCAAATGTGCAAAAACCTAGCCTAGCACAGGGACTGTGTGCACAGGTGCAGCAAAGGGAAGTTCATCCTTCCTTGGAGGGAAGGGAACTAAAACTGTCTTCTAGTGAAATGCAGAAGCAGTGTGTGTTCTGGAGATGTGGATGTTCGGTGGGTTTGTTCAAGCAAAATAAATGCAACTGTGGGGAGTACTTGCTGTAGAAGGACTGAGTTGCAGGAGGGTGGGTTGCGCAGCCTTCTGCATCTTGTCAGGCTCTTACCACGAGAGGCATCCCAGACTTATTTTGAGATAAGCAGCTTGAGGAGAGTTCTTATTATTCTGTTGCTTTTGGCTTTTCGTCTTGTAGCTGTTTAGTTAATTGTTTTCAAAAACTTAAGCCTTCACTTCTGTTCTGTGTTAGGGGTAATTTCTAAGTGTCACAACACTGTTCGTCAGAGTTTGCTGCTTCATTTGCTTCCTGCTGTGGTGGTCTAACTTAGTTGCAGCACGTGCTGCCACATTCCTTTAGGAACAGCAAATGGACCACATCTCATCTCCCAGCTTCTGCCCGTAAAGATGCCAAGGAGTTAGATGAGTAGAGGATACACCTCATTTCTTACAGATTTTGCTTCTGTGTTGGATTTTTCTGGTTTGCCCCGAGGGAAGGGCTTCTGTCAGGGCATTTGGAAGTCCTTCCTGTGATCCTCTAGTGCCTCAGGAGAGCTCAGCCTGCAGCTGCTCCCTTTTCTGCAGGCACTAGGCTGTTCTGGTGGCTGGTTTTGGATGCAGCTGAATGCTTGCGTGCTTGCACATAGCATAAAATTGATACTAAATTACTTGACATTAAATAAAACATTAAATTAATTAAACCAAAGGGTGTCTCAGCCTTTTCCTATTTAGCCACTTTTCTGGTTGAAAAAGAGAGCAACTAGATTTTAAAGCCTGAAACTGCTCTGGTGATGGCCAGTATGGTACATCCACGCTTTATCCCCCAAATACTGGCTGCAGTAGGGAGCAGAGGTAAGGTGGAAAAGTAAATTAATGAGCTCATACTCTCACATTCTCTTTTGTGCATAAAGATCACAACAACAAGAACTCAGCAAGCTACCACACTATTGACTGAATCTAATGCAAACCAATTATAGGCTAGGCATGCAGCCATGACTCAGTATTTTGAGGAGTTATTCCGCTTGACTTGCTTACATCACTGCCTGGCTTGAGGGTGCTAATCATGCAGTGCTGGGTCGTCTTGATCTATGACGCTGTTCAGCAGTTTTTTTTGGCATGTTGCCTCTGTCTGATGTAGTGTGATGTACAGACGGATAAGAGCCAAGATGTGGAAGCAGTGGTGACTAGAAATAACACGACTGTTTTTACTTGGTGTGTGAATTGAGGAAGAAAGCCAAACGAGAACCCTAATAGTATGCAAACCATGTTGCAAGTTATCTGGCTTCCTTGCAGAGAGATAACAGAACTGCTGTACAGCTTGGCACTGGCACCTTCTAAATTTATCTTTGGGGATTTTAATTACTGTGCAGGTGATGCATCTACTAAGCTGACACAGTCAGGTGATCCATGACATCCTTAGAATACCTCAAGATGCTGCAGATAAAAATTCATGGAACTTACTTCAACCTTACCATGAATATCGGAAGCATAATGGCTCTTGTTGCTCTCAGCACCTTTGTCAAGCAGAGAATAAGAGTCAGTCTTCTTGCTGGGTCATAAGCCAGCGGCTGCTCAGATGGAGTAGATTTCTTAAGTTCTTTGCTTGGATGAAGGGCGTACTTGGCTGTGGGACCAGTGGACTGTTAGGAAAAAGTACAGAAAATGAAGAGCCTGTTGTTAAGAACCACTAATGTTTAATTTTTTAATCATATCCTTTGACTGTGGTGTTTAATCGAAACTGGTTGAAGTATGATGGGCAGATTGAGAAGGCAGATGGTGCAAGCTCGGCATGACTCTGACGTAGCCTGGAGTAGCTGTGTGCTGGAGGTGCCAGCGGCAGAATCTGTAGGTTTTCTGTGCCTGTAGTGCTGAAATGGGGTAGGAGTGTTTGTAGTGTTGTTCACTTGCAGGAACTGTCAGGTTGCCGACTTTACCTTCTGCTGAAGGCACACAGTTCTCAACACGTTTGAACACTCTTAAAGTGTGTTCTAGCTTTTCACTTTTCATCAGCTTGCTGCTGTCCTGGATGTCTAGCTGATCTTACTACCCATCCCAGACTTTAATTATAACTGCAAAACACGTGCCCTTTTTTCCCCTGTGTAACTACTAGCCAAATCACTTAAAAGCTATGAGATTGCTCTGAGTCTGAGGAAGAGTGTGTGCTGCTGCTGCTGTTGCAGTGGAGTATGTCCTGGAACACCTAAGTGTGTGAGGATATAGTGTTTATTTTATGCTGACTAGTTCTGCCACCCAAATGTGGGAACAGAAAGGAAGGAGCAGACATCTCCATTTTTATAAAACATCTGGGGACCTTGAATTCTTAATAGCAGAGTGACACAGCAACATATTCAAGCTAAGCAAGTCTTCTACCTCTTCCCCTGCTGTTCTTTCTCCAGTCAAGAACATAAAGCAAAACCCTAGAGTCTTGCCTGGCTCTTACAAAAACTGTATTATAGAAGCAGAATCAGATTTGCAGTGGTGTTAAGGAAAATGGAAATAGTGATTAGTATTACTCAGTGAAGTCTGTGTTTGACACAGATCCTTTTGATTTGCTTGCCAAGGTGATAAGGAAAGGAGGTTGTTCACTGTATCACTAAACAGGGTAGACATGTAAGGTTGTAGTAATGTCCTTATTCTATTAGTGAACCTGCGAAGCTATGTTTAAAAATAATGAACTAGTGCCAGTGTCATGAGCTGTGGTGGTCCAAGCGCACAAACAAGACACAATTTGTGTACAAGTTATAAAATTTGTTGGTCTGCTGGAATATTCTTAAGAAGAATGGCTTTGCCTGACTGTAGGCTAATGACAGGAAAAGACCTGTATACAGAAATTAGAGGTCAAATAAATACTACCTATGTTCATTAATCTTTTCTTGTCGAAAGTAAGCCAAAGAACTAATGAGACGTCATTCTTGCACATTTTGGCTGTATATGCTCAGAACTTGCGAAAAAATGAAGGTAGTAAGGTGATGATAGCTGTACATGTAAAATTTCCACTTACCAGAGTGATTGTAATTAAACTAAAGTAGATCCTTGCGGTTTTGAGAAGACAGGAAAGCTCTAAGACAGAGGCTCCTAAATAATGCTACCCAGACAGCTCAGCCTTGGGAGGGCAGATGCACCAAGCTACAGAGATAGAGGCACCAAGATGGCAACAAGACAGAGAAAAACAACCTGGAAGGACACAGTATACATGATCTTAGAACTGAATTTGGAGAGAAACAGAAGTCAACCAGCAGACACTGTGATGAGGAGTATAAGCCTTCATCTTAGGACTCCCAAAGACCACTGGAGGATGCTAACAGACATGCATGAAAGATATTAACATATGCCAATTAGTTCTTGGAAAAGTCATGAATATGCTAAGCATTTCTTGAAACTATAATGAATATGTATGCTGTGATTGTATTTAACCTGAAATGACAGGGTGTTTGGCATGCATGTTTGGAGGAGAGATGCCCCGTGTGCCTGGTGCTGTAACAAAGAATTCCTGCTTAACAGTCTTCCGGCTATTGAGTCTGCAATTCCGGGTTTTCATGGCAACAGTGAGGAGGTTCTGTTTGAATTCTTTTGATGAACTGGATTCTTCTAACTCAGCTCAACTGAGACAGAATAAAGTTTTTTTTAAACTCTTTTTTTACTTTTTAGATCCAACTATGACAACACAAGATGCTAGTCAGTTTCAGGCAAACTCTTTGACTAAGATGCGAGCTGGACTTAATGAATCATCTTCTGGTAATCCTTTTGTTTCAGTACCCCTAAAGCTGTAATACTTGTTCCTAGTGATATGAAGTTACCATGTAGAGTCTGCATTTTCATACTAAATATGTCTTTTGAAATAAGATTGTGACTATTCAGGGGAAACAGAAGTAAAGGTATCATCTAGGTCTTTTAAAGCCACTGCAAGAACTTAAGTGTTGTAGCCTTCTCCACAGTCCTTGAGATGCCTGTCTAGCTGCGAGCTGTGTGATCTGTTGCCCTTACTCATATAAGCCATAAAAGCAGGCAGTGATCCTGGAGATGGGACACTTTCCAAACCAGAACCATTGTAGGAGGTTGTGTTCTAGCACTTACAGCTGAGAATGTTTAGCGTGAGGAGGACTGTTTATGCTCTTGTAATAGTCAGAGATACAATAATGCCCTTGCATCACTGTGTCTGCTAGCTTCATCTATCTTTTTTTTTCCTTTAGTTCTGAATGTGTCAAAACCTTATTTTGTCCCCACACTTTAGTCACCATATTCTAGACCTGAACTTTGTCGTTGATAGGGAGCAGAGAAGAAGGTCCAGATGGGAGAATAACCTGATGATTGTTGATTTCTACCTCTTCTTTCTCCACAAAGATCAGAGTTAAATTTATACATGAACTCAAGCAAGTTTTGACAAGTTATTCCATCTACAGTTTTGTTGTTGGAGATGATAATGCTATTTACCTGGTATTCATCTTCACACCTTTTTAGCATAACACGTGTGAGAACTAGCAGTTCAATAGCTAGTAGATTCAATTACTCTTTCCATACATAAACACAAGTATACATATGAGCTAAAATACATGAAGTGTTTTGTATAATATGATTTCACATGGCTATTTTAATTTGATATGTGAATTGAGCAAGAAAGTGAGGATCCTATTAGTGTGCAAGACATCTTAAAGGTTGCCTGTTTTTTTGTGGGTGAATAACAACTATCATATGAACTGGCCGTGGTGCCTTCTGAATCTATCATCATGAGGGATTTCAGTAACAAACCAGGTGGTGTGTGTGTTAAACTGACATAAACTCAGGTGATCCATGGCAACCTTGGCATGCTGTCAAGGTGTTTGCACACACAGACAGAAGAAGATTCCCCAGAACGCTTTCAGCCTTTGTGTGTAGTTTCAGGGATAAACACTTGGACTAGTTTTTTCTATCAGGCAGAGATCAAGGCTTGCTTATGCTCTTGTCTAGAGAAACAGGACTTAATGTCTAGTGCTAGAAGACAACTTCAGAATTTTTTTCTTAAAAAGCTGTTTTGGACTTATGCTTGAGACTGACAACAGTCTAATGTGAACAACCACGAAATGAACTATCCTGAAGCTCTGTTCTTCCACATCCTCCACCTTAATATACAGGTTTATTGTTACTTAAACTGGTTGAAGCATGAGGGAAGGTATGAAAGTGCAGATGGAACAAGTCAGGCAAAAGGCTAGTTGCCTGTGGTATAGCACTCCTTGTGTTGTGAGCTGACATGTTGATAAAAACAGTGCTTTATGGAACAGGCCTGCAGCTTGGAAGGCACGTGGTACCTCTGCTTGTGCTTGCTGAGAGACCTTTAGATGCAAGCCACTAGCAGGGACCTCCTTCAGCACAACCACATTCTCTCAACTGTAGCCGAGAGGCATGTGTTAAGAACTTTAACTCAAAGTTCAGTATTCTATGCAGGAAAAGAAGGAGTAATTCTGAGAAGATCTAGGCTTTCAGAGATACTATTTCTACTGCACAGTGATCAACTCTGCCACCCAGTGCTTCTCTTGGTGAGAAGACTGAAGCTGTAGCCCAGTTTTCTATATTTTCCTAACTCTTGAGTGGGAATGTTTTCATTCTATGCACAAGAGAGGAATGAAGCCCCTTCCCTTCTACAAAATCAGAATAATTTTCTCCTGTAATGCTGTATGATTAGGCAGATTCAATCAGTGGTTACTGTTAGTATATTCCTGAAATGTGTTATAACTGGCAACCAAATTACTTTGCAAGCATGTAAAATGTGTGGCTTAAAACATTTAGTGTATTTTATCTGTTGTGGGGTGAGGGAATCTCTATTTCTTTTGTTTCATCACTAAATAAATTTAAAATTTTGGTTTTTTACCTTTCAGAGCCCGTGACAACTGCACGAACTGTAAACTGGAAAACTTCAGGGAGCTCTTCAGATCATTTGACACTTGAACATAGTGTATCTACACCTGGTAAAAGCAGTCACAAGTTGTGTTCTACTTAAATAGTTAAATTTCGGCTACCCTAAGGTTCTACTTTGATATTTTCTTACTCAAGTGGTTATGGAGGATTTATATTAGTAGATAATTATAAAGACAAACAGTTTGATGTTTAAGGCTGTATAGAAAGTAACTGTGGAAACTAAAAAGATGAAAATTGCTACAACTGTATTGAACTGAACTTTTTTTAAGCATAATTTCTGATGTCTTCTTCAACAGTGTGCTTTAGTTTACGAGGAACTTGTATGCACATAGTACAATACTAATGAAGCAATTACGTGTGTAGATGTGAAAGGCTGATGCTTCCTTAACTGGGCTACACCTATTTTTAAAGCTATAGCTTATTAATTTGCTTTCTTGCTCTGCTCTTGAAATGCACAGAGTATGAGAACAAATACAGTGGTGGGAACAGGCTGTTTATGCTTACAGTTGTCTGCCTGATAGCTGTATCAAGTGTTGTAAAGCTTTATAAAGGTAGTCTCTGAATAATACACCATCTATAGGCCTACATAGAAGGGATTTTGCTGGCCATATTAAACCTTTTAAACGTAGTTTTTCCTCATAGAAAGAAGGGGTGGATTTTAGCTGGGCAGATGATGGTCGATATTGATATGCTTTGTGTGTGGAAGGAAATTCCTTGCAGTGTAACAGGAGTTTTGTGGAGCAGTGAGGGCCTCTGACTGTTTTCCAGTGGAGCACAGGGTGTTCTTGCCTCTACATTCATTAGAGCTGAATCTACATTAGACAGTCTACCGCTGGCTTTCTGGCTGCGTTGTTAAATCGTAGTGGCTTTGGGAATGGCAGTGTTCTGCCCTTCTACTTTTTTAAATTTTTCTAAAGCTTATTACTTTTCCAGGCTCCTCTTAAACATTGATTTAGTCCTGTATGGTTCTAGGACTCATCTAAAAGCTTTAGGAAAAGCCACAGGTACAGATGACTCTTTGAATCAGGCTGTGAAATCGATAATTACAATCTCTTCAGAGTATTGACATGCACAATTACAACATTATATTAAAGCTAGAAACCAGCTTCTAAAATGGCATAATAACAGTGGCCACGCCACACTGCTACTTTACGATTCTGGCTGTTAACACACAAGACAGATGGAATGATCTCCACAGTAGTTGGCATATGGCAAGGTCCTTCCGCTCCCCCTTCCACCGTCTTCCTCCCCTCCCCAAGAAAGAACTGCAATATAATATTGACACTCTGCTGTATGCTTACCTTTATAGGATCATAACATACCACTTTGCTTCCCCCACAATCTTGTTAGGTCCAGATCTTGCCACACAAGTGTTCAAGCAGGCAAGCAAAGAGAATGTGTCTAACCTCACTTTTGTGGAGTATGAGGTACTCTTACCTGGTAAGTATGTTATTTTTTTTCTTCCAGTTATGTTACATAGAATGCCTGTGATTACACACGATCTCTTGTATGACCTGTGGAAGTATCTAGGATGGCAACTTCTTGATAAAGTTAAGGTCACAGTGAGCAAGTGATGAGCTCGGTAAAAGATGAAGTTTGTTGCACTATTCAGTTTTGTGTTCTAGTAACTCTTTTGCAGTGAACAACGGGTTTCTTACATTTTTAAATTAAAACCACAGATAAAAACAACTCATAGCTGTCTGTCCTCCAGATCAATTCAGGTGACAATGTCTTTGTGCTTGTGAGTCGACTTGAAGAGACCATGCAAGTTAGGGTGCTGGTTAACCAGCAGGTGTTAGTCAGCTCTGCAGCACTGTGGGAGTTAAACCGTGGAGAAGAGGAAAGAGAAGTCTCTTCCTAAAGAGGATGCAAAGTTCCCAGTTGACAGTTAAGCATTTGTAACTGTTTTCTGCGACAACTGGAAAAACTGATCAAACTGAAATCTCTCTGTTGGAGGAGATCAGTTAGAACTTTGCAAAGTACTGGTATGGTATTTTAAGGACATAATTGCACAGCATTTATGCTGTATTTTCTTCAAGCAGAAAACTTAAGGTAGTATCTGTTTCTTGTTCTGGTACATGTAGTCTTGGTACAGAGATGCCCCAGATATCAGTCCTACTAGTGGTTAATCTTCAACAGCATTGAGTTTTCATGTTCCATGCTTTTAAGGTGTGGATTTAGTTTTAAAATATCTCAAAAGGTATGGATTCTGTTTTTAGGCAGTGTAATTAATCTGAATGTAAAACTTTTGCTACTGTGAAACTAATTCCATTTGCAGAATTACTTCGATCATAAACAACCTTAAGAAGGTGAGTTGTGTGACTCATTTATTGAGTGCAATGGCTCTAATAAATGAGTAGCAGTAACTGCTCTGCTATGAAAGACTGAAGTGTTGCACCTCAAAGTTTAATTCCAGTTCAACAGTTCTGTAATATTTTGGCTGGGACTTGGAGTTCTGTGTGTGCTCTTCTGCAGGCTGTAAATGTATATGCCAGATCCAGTAAAGTTCAAATGTTCTATAGGAGTATTATAGTATTATGCGAGTCAGACTTTGCTGCTGCTTAGGTACAACTTGCATTACTGAGTCAGTGAGCTGTACATTAAAACTTCCTTTTCTCACAGAAACAGTTTGTACTGTGAAACACAGCTGCACTTTTTTGACCATCTAGTACCACAGGGTACGTCTAGGATTGAGATGAGGCCTGGAATAAATTTTAATGGAGTGTTCAGACAGAAGACAAGAAAGAAAAGGCTAGTTATGAAATAAAACATCAGTGCTGACAGGTACGAAGTCAGAGGTTTCTTCTTATAAAAAAGGCTGCATGGATCAGAGAACATATCTGCTGTTGAAACCTACTTTTTTGATACGCTAATTTTATCCTCATAGAGCTTGCTAAAAGCAAAAAAGCGTCAGATTTTTCAGCTGTATTGAAATGTTTTCACATTGTAATTCTCCTGGCTTGCCACTAGGAAGGCAAAGGCAGCCATAAATGGGTTTGAAGATTTGGTTTCAAGTTGGGTAGCTGTAGCATGAGAGGCCAGATCCAACAATGTTAAGGTTGTGAATTCTATCATCAACTTCACTAGCAACAGGACATTACGTACCATCTCATACTACCATAAAATCTGCAGCTGGCTAAAAGCTGGATGCTTATAGATATTTACAAGTCTAACTCTTTTTGATATTCTTAATATAACTTTGCATATATTTACTAATATTTTTAATCCAATACATACTCCTCTTTTAATACCAAATGTGCAGTCAAAAAAAGTTTAGCGTGAGAGGAGACATTGTTCCCCTTGGTGAGAGCTAAGTACTTAATGTTTTGGGTTAAGTTGTGCAGAAGCATAAATCTGTCTTGCTTTCAGTGAAATGAATGCCTGTGTTTCTATGTTGGAGCCGTCTAGGATGTTTACCTACAGAATGGAATGACTGCCATTTTTGTAATGGATGTGTATCATAACTCAGTTATGGCTTAAGAAAATTACTGTCAAACACTGATTGTCTGATTTTGCAGGTTTCTTTTTTACCCTGGGAAGTATAGCAGCAGCACACTGTATCCAGCTATAATCCAGCATATGTAAAACAGTCTTTCAAACTCTTATTCCCCCAGAATGAAGAAACATGTTTTTCATAAACAATTTCTTAAACTTCTAGGTGTTTCTGGTACTTCTGTGGAAAAAAATATCACTTTGGACAGTGCAACTAGAATTGAACTTTCATGCAGATTGGACAATAAATATTCTCATCTGAAAAGTTTTCAAGTGACTTGGAAGAGGGGAAATGAAACTATCAGACACATCAATAAAACTGAAAACAGTTGGGGCATCCAGTAAGTAGCATTCTTTATAGTTTGACTTGCAGGTTCTAACGAGTTATAATTGCATGCATATACACTGCCCAATACTAGTCCTGTATATATTAGAATAACAGCCAAATGTAGTGATTAATATATGTCTATAATCAACATATTACAACTGCAGGAAAGGAAAAAGGTTGCAGTTACCTTGAGCCTGGAGGAAGAGCTACTGTTCTTCCTCTAGTGCTGGAGAAGCAAGGTTTCTTCAAGACAAGAATATAGAATAAGGACACAGTTCTTTGAGGTCTGATTATTCTGTTCAGTAGTAGTCTCAGTCTGAGATTGCTAAAATACCTCTATTTCTTTTTCCATTCCCCTGTTTTCCACATTCTCTTTTACACCTTAGTGCTGCTTTGCGCAAGCCTGAAAGGCATCAATGGTCAATTCTTTTCTTTCACAGCTAGCAAAAGAGAAGAAATTTGCGTTACAGTAAAGGTGTTTTGGATTTTTAAGAGGTTTTCTTAATTCTTTAAAAACTCTATGGAGACTCAAGAAATGTTGTAGATAATTTTTCTCAATTGATATGCTTTACTATCAGACTTCAAAAATCTGTAAATGGACTAATTTTAACCAGGTAGTCTCGAGCTGATTTCTGTATTGCTTTGATTTCTTAGCATGAATAATATTTATATAAAATTTCTGTGATAGAAAAGGTGATGAGAATGTACTGTCACTTCTACTCCGTATACACAAGCACAACTGTGTAAATCATTTTCAAAGCCACCTGTGAAATAATAGTTCACCAGCAGAGAAGGTGCTGGACTTCATTAAATGCCAGCTCTTTAAAACTGTTCTGTGTTGGTGCTGTGCTGGCCATGGACTGACCAGCTTTAGAAAGAAAAACCATTTAAGTAACATCTTCTGAAATCCTATCTAACGTATGCTATATAGTTCACATGGTGAACCCATGTCTAATTCGGTAACCTGTAGGTCGTATAGCCTAAAGATGTTTGGCCTTCTGTGAGCAACAAGGGTGAAAATTGTATTTGTGTTCCCATATGTGCTTGTGCTTTTCTGTTTTGCTGTTCTTACCTTGTACTAAAACTGAATCCTAGTGATTCAGCGATGTATGTTCTCTGCTCCACTACTAATCTTTGCTGGTTTTATTAGAATGTTAATTAGCAGTCACTGATAGGATGAAAGAAAATAAAAGCAAAAAAGCAAATTGGAACTCTTTTTTTGAAGATTGAGGATTTTGGATAACAGTAAGCTGGGAAGTTACAGTTGTACCCTGAAAGGTGAAGAAGAAATCAGCGCTGTGTTTCATTTACAAGGCAAGTTACTTTAAATTTTACTTCACTTGACCATTGAAATCCTGTGTTAGCGTGGTTTCTGGATAGTATGGAAATCACAGCTTAATTTGATAAGCAGTGACTAATATGGTCCAGCCAAGTAAGAGTCACTATCAAAGGCATTTCAGTAGCATGGAGAGAAGAAGAATTTTGAAGCAAAATCTAAAAGCCTTTTTAACAAAATTTGCTAAGAATCAAGAGAGCATGTAAGCCTACTTTTTTTCTGAAATGAGTAACCGATTTCCCCTTCCCTCTCCATCTGTACAGCAGGAGTGAATACTCATCACTTTCTGTGGGGTGGGAGGAAAGGATGGTGTCTCAAATTCTTCAAAACACAGAGCCAATGACTTGAAAGTTTGGCCTGAGATTCAGTGTTAGAAGAGGAGAAACGGTTGGCAGAAGGGAGGCAGGTTTTTGAAAAAAATCAGTTGTGTTTCTGTAAGGCCAAGTTATTGCTTTAGTGCATCTTTCATTCTATATAAGAACATTTCTTACATTAAAAGTTAGTGTGCTTCATTGGGCAGTATGAGTGCCCTTTCTTCTGTTCTGTATTCTCTTCAGTAGTCTTGACCTTGGCAGTTGTGGGCAAAGTCCAGCTGAATGGAAGACATGGAATTGAAACAAATACGAGCTGCTGAGAACCTTCATCTATGAGAGCTATTCCCTTCCCTATTCTGACCGTCCAAATTTTGCAAAGAGCAAGGCAAGCATTTGATCTCTGAAAGTGCCACAGACTGTGATATATAAGAAAGGGTTTTTAGGAGCCCGTGTTTGGGGATTATATAACTCTTAACTATCCTAACCTCAGCTGAACTAACCAACAGGGCTTTGTAATTCTCAGTGCTGCAAGCTGGGTTTGCTCAGTGAGGTATCTAGTCATACGACTTGAGGAAACTCTCTCATGTATGTTTAAGTCTTGAATAGTAAAGTTGGTATCTGCTTTCAAATCTTCAGCCAGGGAGACTAGCTTGCAATACTGAAGAAAGACAAAATTGTAGCTTATTTGGACCTTTTAATGTCTAAAAATAATTATATCTTGTTGACATGTGGGTAAGGTTTAGTTGAATGGCTACTCGGGTCTTTTTAGGTAGAAAAAAAGTCAAAGGAGACTTTATTCTTTTGAAAATATACAATAAGTATTTCAGTGAAGGCAGGAATGACTCAATAGGGAAGTCATCTTTTCCAGAACAGTGCTTAGGACTGGTTGATTTATTGCAGTAAGATGGGAGAATTGCTTCACAGTGGTTGAATGCTGCCACTTCTGATGCCATAAAAAGTACAGGCTTGACACTTTTCAAGATTAATGCAGGAGTGAAGGAAATGGGAAAGAGAAGTCCTTGAATCTTCCAGTCAGTAATGCAGGGAGAACAATTCTCAAAGTGAAAGATGAGTAATGTGTTGGTATAGACTCAGTGGCTAAAATCATCACTGCTGTAACTAACTGCAATAGGTTTTTCCACTAGGCAGTTAGGCATTATTGGATGTGTTGCCTCTCCTTCCCTCCCCTATCCTGGCTTGGCATAACCCTGCAGACTTTGAGGAGTTGAGCTTTTACGCAGGTCTGCAGAAAACTAACATTTTGAGATGCTTATAGAAGATCAAATTATTAAATGTGGAGACCATTCATGAGTACTTTAAAATGGTGTGAAATGTTGCAATAGCTGTATTGAAGAGTAGAATAGATTTATTTGTGTTTGCCCTTTGAGGGATCCTTAATCAGCTGTCCAGGTACATGCACTATGGAACAACTCTGGTCTTAAACCGTTGTGGAAATCTGACTGGTGTAAATGCTGTTGCCATCACCTGTCTGTTCATCTCTTCAACGGTTTGTTTTTTTCTGTGCAGCAGCAGTGTTTTGTCACACAATTCTGGGTGTTCTACTTGCAAAAATACCTGGGACAAAACATACTATTTCCTTGCACGCTTTCAAGGATTAACCTCTCTGTTACATAGCTAGAGTGCAGAAGTCATGATGGGTATTCACGTCCTTAATCATGGCTAATGTGGTAGTGGTATTTCTGGTATGTCTATAGCTGTGCTTTACCACTGATCAGCGTGGCTAAGTCTTTTTGACTACCACATAAACCTGCTACGCTGCTTTCAAGGGTTTTTTGTTTGTTTTCATATGTTCCATTCTTTTTTCCCACCTGCTTTTTTTCTCTTCTATATGTTGCAAAGGAAGTGGCAGCAGTTATTACTCAAGTTGTCCCTTTTACTGACAGCAGTGAAGATACTCTGCCACTACTCTTTAGAAGGATAGTGTTTAATGATTAGAACAAATACCTATGGAGTGAGAAGTAATGGGGCTGGAGTGATGTATGGTGCAGCAAATTCTGAGGTTGCAAGCACTTGTTAACAAATTGGTTTCATATGTGTTTCAGGAATGGAAACTTTTAAGTTTGAATGCTCGTGAGAAGTGAACTTTTTGGGACGATTTGTGCTCAGCCAGTCAACAATGGGAGGGAACAAGAACAATCGTAGTTTATACCGAATTGTTCCATTGTAACTGCTGAAAGCCAGCTCTTGGCCTGTTTAGTCTTGTGTGACCAATGTAATTTAAAAGATGTACTGGATCTGTACTTACAAGATAGAGCAATGAAACTTGAAGTAAAATTTTAAATATATCTGAGGAAAATGTGCTGGTGAACATCCAAATAAAGAGGGGAAAAAAAGGGGAAGGGGAAATACATACTCCATCATGATACATTTTCTCAGCTCTATCTGTGGGATGCCTCAATATGTTCAACAGTGTATTTTGGGCTCTTGCTCTTGCAGGGCTGTGGGGTGTCTGCAGTTATAATGGCTGGGACAAGTAGCTCTAAAGTTGTAAACTGATGTCTTGTTTCCTGTGACCATATTCTGATCTCAGCAAGATGGGACCAAAAGTCCTCTTTACTGGCATGCACCCACAAGTCATTACTTCAGCTTAGAAAACATTTGTAAATACAAAGCTCCCTCAGTCTGCAGTTTTGTCTTCATTACAAAAAAAAAGTTCTCTGCATGCACAGCTTGCCAGATAGTATTACATGGTAGCATTGTAACTGGAATAGACTTCTATCAGTTTTGGCAGATTGAGTGAAATTGCAGAAAAATTAGCATGTTTGTTTCTAGTGTACCAGAACTAAAGGATGTAGCTCACAGCTGTCGAGGAAGGGAAAGAAGAAATGGGCAAGGGCAGAAATCAGTCTCACTTGATTTTAAGTATTAATGGGCAATTTTCAAGATCATACAGCAACAGAGAGGATGATTTCTGTAGTCTTCTGCAAAAATTCTGTATACAGAATGTCAGCCTGTAATAAGTCTCATTTAGATCATGTCATGAGTGATAGTCATCTGTGTTTATGGGAAAAGGAAATGAATGGACTATGACAAATACATAACTAAATATATTTTATCTTTTTGCAATACTGTAATTAAAACATGTAGGTGTCACTTGATTAACTTTTTTCTACTTGTTTTTAGTACCAAAAATTGAAGGAAAAGAAAAAAACATAGTCAGTTATGAAGGAGATACAGCTGTACTGGTTTGTAAAAGTTCTGGCTATACTCCCATTGCTTGGACGTGGTATATGATCAACGGAAGTGAACAGGTAAGGTTTCCATCTGTTGTCCAAGCAAAACAATGAGGCAAAAAACAAGTACAGACACTTCTTAGTGTAGTGACTTGTCATTGTAGGCTCTGCAAATTACATTTCCATTAAAGTTAATGTAAATCTCTGCCTGTGGAAAAAAATATGGTATTTAGAAGTATTTGTTCTTACAGGGATAGTTTTTGTTCTGTTTTGTATGATGTTTATTTTCCAAAAAGTCCCTGCCATACTACAGCCCAGATAACAGTAAAACAAATCAGATGAATCTTGAGATACTTGTATTTACTGTATTAATGGTGGTTATATTGATGAGATCTTACTACTTGATACCGAAAAAAATCGTATCATAGCAGGAAGCTTTTAAAGACATGTAAAGGTATTGGAGGCTTGAGAGAGAATGGCACTATGTCCCTTCTCTTCCTTGTCCTCCAGGTACAAATGTTTCTGTATTACCCAGCCTGTAGCCTCTCTGGAGGATAGCCCATGGTGGAGACTGCTGTGCTGCTTGATTCTGAAGGAGCTGAAACCTCTTCTCGCTTCAGCTCCTGCCATAAAGGCTGTGAGGAAAAATCTTGCTCAGCAGTTTTCCTCCTTTAGATACCCACCGTTCAGGATCCTTTTTAGCCTTGGAAGCATACCCACTTTGTTCTAGCCCTTTTCTGGGGGAAGCACTGTCAACTGGGAGCAGGTGCATAAACCTGTCTCCTCTACTGTTGGAGAGCAGCATTGCCTTGTAAGGCTATCAGCATATTTCCTGGTGAAGCAGCATTGCCAGCTCAACTTCCTCGAAAGTGTGTGACTTGTACTGTGGTGAAACTTGGGTGTTAGATCCTGACACCTGAGGCTGCCTCTCAGTGGAGAGTCAATAGAGTCAGGGGTACCTTTCATCCAATTTTAAATAAACTAAAACAGGTCACACAACTTGCTTGCTAAAAGTGTGCATTTTCCTTCATTGCATGTAAAGGGAGCCAGGGTGGCCAGCTAAGACAAATCCTTTCCTGGACCGTGGACTAAACATGCTTCATAAATGCCACATGTTCTTAGTTAATTTTACATCTCTCTATATCAAACTGTCTGCTAATATAAATAATTTGATTAAAAACTCTCTCATTACATTAATAAGACTTGTAATGTATTTTTTATTTTCAGATTGCCATCAATGACTCTTTGATGGCAGACAAGTATGTAATTAATAGAATACCTACCAATGTAACCCATCTGAAGATAGTGAAGCTCACCAAGGAAGATGATGGTGCATATTGGTGTGAAGCTGCCTTTGAACTAGGGAAAAGTAAAGGAAAGCTGAAGCTTAAAATTCTGTCCCTCATGGTGCCTCTCAAACCCTTTTTAGCAATTGTGGCTGAAGTTGTTATTTTAGTAACTATTATTTTCCTTTATGAGATATATTCGAAAAAGAAAGAGAAACATGCAGGTGAGTTTTTTTAGTCCCTTCTAGCTTTTCATTTTAATTGCAGCCAAAGATAGAAAGGTATGACCCACAGCACTTCGTATGTGAAGTTCAGTGTGATTTTTCACATATGTACTTTTTCTGAAAAAATGCTTTCTTCTAGAACATTGCATTATTTTAGATTTTTAAATCTTTTCCATGAGTCTAGAATTCAGGTTCAAGGTGCTTTCAGTAAGCCATACTTTCTTGTGAAGGATTTGATATAGCTCTTATTTTTTTTTCCTTACAAGGCAAAGGAATTTAGAGGCTATACTACATGGGGGAGTGCTTAGGAATAGAAGCAACTGTTAGTAGTCTTGATAGGAGAAACTTCTGTCAAGAAATTGAGTAAGAAGGAGAAATACATTGAAACAGAAAGCACTGATAATGGTTGCTGAACCTAAGGCACACATAGGTGCTGAATATGTAGAAGGTGACCCATGTATGTAAAAACTATATATATGTGTTTATATTATACATATAAGCATACATATATTTTTCTGTATTTTATACTTATTATATATAATATATAACATATGTATTAAAATCAGATTCATGAAACTTGATCAATATTTTTTTGATAAATTTGCAGGCAATTCCATTGAACAGAGGAACAAGATAATTTAAATTACAAATGTAGGAAAACTAGTAAAATTAAAAAAGATTTTGTTTTGCTTATACGTGGAGTAAATAAGTAAATATAACTTTTCTACTGTTTGTAAAATCAAAAGCTTATATAATCCTTTTTCTATTGTGCAGAAGAAGAAAAAGAATTTGACCAAGTTGAGCAACTGTAAGTAAAGAATTTGTATACTATAGTGAAATACTTGCTTTTTTGCACATAAGTGTGTTGTATAAAATTATACCCTGTCGTTGCCCCAGTCGGTAAGGGTTAGTGATGAATGCGCAAGTACAGTTTATTCCTTTCCTTAAGACTTCCTAATTCCAGAGTATGCAGAATGCTGTTTTCTACTTGGCAGTTAATTTTGGTGCTTGGAAGAGATTTCGCTTTTTTGTGAGAGCACCATGCGTCCTCATCATAAACTCCTTCTAAAAGGCTATAACTGAGGACGGTCACTTTCAGGTGGAAACTTTACAGAAGAGGCTTTGAAATTTTTCTCATGTATTTTTTTGTGGATATTAACATACATTTCTCTTATTTGCATGTGGTCAAAGCACTGACTGTGATAGGTAAGCCTGTAGTTGCTGGGGTACTGGGAGCTGGTGGTGTTGGTTGTCCTGGTGGTAACTCCAGCCTCCTGGGGGTGGTTCTTCTCACTCTGCTGATGGCTGGGTCTCCTGGGCACGGGAGTGGCTGCACTGCTGGAGCCAAAGGTGCAGGTGATGGCATTTATATTGTTCTGCTGCTTGAGGGCTGGTGCTCCCAAGCTGGCTCCTCCCTCCTGAGGATGATGCATTTCTGAGGGCTTGCTTGCTAAAATAAACTGTACTTTTCTCCTGCTGCCCATCGTTTGAAGCCCGGTTGCTTAATTTGGCCTGTTAACTTTCCTTTTGTTTTAAGATGCAGCCTAGCAGTTCCTCTTAGATGTGTCCAGTCTACTCCAGTTTTCTTCCCTCTCAGTCCCTTCTCTCCACCTATGTTTATCTCCCTTTTTCATAGCTTTAAGTAGTGCTGACTTTCCCTTTTTGAATTTCTTGCTGCAGTGACCTTCTTTGTTTCCCTATGCTGTACTCACTTTCCCATTCCTTTTTCCAGTGTTAGCTGAAAATATATTTTAGTGCTTTCCTCCTTATCTAAATAGCTTTAAAGCTGTAATTCAATTATACTGTAAAGTGGGAATATGTCTTGGGAATGTAGTATGCTATTATGCTGTTTAGTGTTTTGGAATATGTCTTGAGTTGCAGACTGAATAATTGCCCTTGTCCCACAGCCCTGCTTCTTATAAACATGCTGAAACTATTACAACAGGATCTTAACACTGTATATTGCACTAAAAAATGTTTTCATGCTTGATGAGAGATGTGGGATGTGGCTTTGATCAACTGCTTGATCTTTACTTTGGAGTTCTGTCTTGGATAAAGATATACGAGGAAAATCTATGAAACCATGCACTTGCCAGACTTTAATAACTGGAAGTTGTTGCAGCTGCTGGCTGTTTAGAAGATAGATTTGTGTACCAGAGAAAATGGCTACAAAGGAGCTTTGCTGGTCTGTTATGTCAAATGGTGACTAATATACAGCTGAACTTGGGTGATAATTAAAATGTCACATCCAGCAATGTATTAGGTGGGAGGCTAGTGATTCAGACACAGATTTTTTTTTTAGTAAGAAGACTGTTAATTCAAATTTTGACTGTGACAAACACCATATAGCTAGTTGCAGGTACTCCAGAAGGAAGAATCATAGAATGGTTTGGGTTGGAAGGGGCCTTATAGATCACCTAGATCCAACCCCCCTGCCATGGCCAGACCTTCCACTAGACCATGTTGCTCAGAGCTCCATCCAACCAGGGAGAAGGCATCCACAGCTTCTCTGGGCAACCTGGTCCAGTGCCTCACCACCCTCAAAGACTTTTGTTCTTATATCTAACCTGAATCTACCCTCTTTTAGTTTAAAGCCATTACCCTTTGTCCTATCACTTCAGGCACTTGTAAAAAGTCCCTCTCCAGATTTCTTGTAGGCCCCTTCAGGTACTGGAAGGCTGCAATAAGGTGTCCCTGCAGCCTTCTGTTCTCCAGGCTGAACAGCCCCAACTTTCTCAGCCTTTCCTCACGCAGAGGTGTTCCAGCCCTTGGATCATTGTTGTGGCCTCCTCTGGACCTGCTCCAACGGGTCCATGTCTGTTCTGTGCTGAGAACTCCAGGTGGGCTCTCACCAGAGAGGAGCAGAGTGGCAAAATCCCCTCCCTCGACCTGCTGGCCACACTGCTTTTAATCATATAACTGTTTCAGCCCATGTTCTGAGGATGTTGAGCTGTATATAGCATGTATATTATTTGAGCATTCACTTTATACAGATTCTGTAGAATGAATGAAAAGATAGCATGGCAGTCATTTCTGGGAATACTTTCACTGTTAACTTCTGCCCAGAACTTTGTGGGATATTTGAGGGGGATTGAGTTGATCCTTTACTACTTGGCTGAAAGACTTCAAGAGTCAGTACTTTGGTTGCTTAAATTTTGTTTAATCTTCTTTTTTCTTACAACTTCCTGTGCTGAAAGAGAAAATCAAATACATTGTAGATGTAATCTCTAATTGGATTGCGGGACTGGATTCTCATCCTAGACTAAAGTTTTGGAATTTAACCTCTCTTTGTAGTAAATCGGAAGAAAGCAATGGTCTGGAAAACAGCAGTGCTAGGCACAGAAAAATCTAATCTGGTTCCTAAAAAGGTAAGAAAGAGATGAAACGGGGAACAGAATTTACTGTTCTCTTGAGCAGCCTAAATACAAGGAAATCCACTGTGCCATCCCAATCTGGCTTTTTTTGATGTGAGAATAATATAGTAATAGAACTACTGTTTAGATAAATAGTCATTGATGATGTAATGTCAGCAATAACGTGACTCCAAACCCTTTTAATTCAGTACTGTAATCATTGTGGTGTAATAGTTGTGTTTACCCATGCAGTCCTTGGAACAGGACCCAGATTAACCTGCTTAACTGCTTGACTCCTGATCACAAAACATTTCTGTGAATGCCAGGGTGGGTGCTGAGATGCCTAAGAATTGCTGATGTATCCAAAATCCCGCTCTTTCAGACTGTATCTTGGGTGTTGAGCGAGGTTATGGAGGGAGGATGGATGTGTAATAAGCGGGGAATGTAACAGTACCAGAGGCATGAAACAAGGGATTATAGGAGTCTAGGAAGTAAGATGGAGTGTAATAGATGGTGACTGAAGGGATTAGTGGTGGAGGAAGGAAGCAGGGGGTATGTAGCCCTGTAACAGCTGTATAACGAACTTCCCTGATTCTCTGCCCTCTTTACAGTCCGATTACAGGCTGCTTATGCCAGCTGGAACAGCTTGTTAAAGGATGGTCTGTCAGTTGAGGACCAGTCCTACACACTCTGGCTGTTTCCCCTTGTTATTCCCCCTCTGCATCTGGCACCCCGAACTCTCATCTCGAGAGATGTGAGTGACTCTGCGTTCATGTCACTGCTGGTGCTCTTTTTCCTCTCCACAAGCCATCTACCTGAAGGAAGACTGTTTCCAGTACACTTTGTTTTAAAGAACAGAAAGAGAAATGTCAGGTCAGGCTCATAGAAAGGGGGTTAACAAATTGGAAAACAATCAAGAACAAATACTTTCCGAGAGTATATTGTCTCCTGTTTCCTGCGTGTTACTGTACTTGTTGATTGCTGTGAACAGGTTCCCAAGGATTTATCCCACTTTAGATCTAAGGTCCCATTCTTGTAATGTCCTTTTGGCACATGACACTCAGTGAACCAATAAGGATTCAGATTTGTGAAATGGACCTGTCAAAAAAGTTTACTTTCAAACAAATATGGGAAAGTACGAAGCAGCAAAATAACAGAGTTCATGTATTAAGGAAATGTGTTTATTCTTTTCAGTTCAGGAGACTTAAGCCAACAGAAGTGGAAATCATCACAAAGCTACAGAAGATGTGTGCGGCTATGCATTTTAAACATTCACTATGCTTCTAAGTAAACTCCTCTGCACTTATGAGAAATGAGATGCTTTTAAAATAGCTGTGAAACTGTTCATTTTATACAGATGGTAATGTATTCTGATGTACTGCATTTAGACCTTTGCTGTCTGTAATGTTGTTTGTCATTTTACTGCTAAAATGCGCTTTCTATGCGATTAGGCTTCTTGTTTTATGACTGATCTGTTTGATTTTGTCCCAAATCATAACTAACCTTGCATTCACTGAAGGAACAGGTAATATAGGACGGGCTTATTATCTAAGTGTTATAAAGCTGGACTTGTAAAATCAAAAAAGTATTTTTACCAAAGAAAATGCCTTTTACTAGCAGATGAAGCAAATGTGACACAGCCATTTTTACCAAAGAAATAGTCAAAGGGAAATCTTTATCGTGATTTAAATGAAACATTAACAGCTTTGCAATTTGCTCTGAACAGTAAAATGTCTTAATTCTAACTTTTCTTAGCTTGATTTAAATGAGAAATAAAGGTACATTTTGAAAACTCAAGATACGAATTTTCTTAAGATGTCCTGCCATATGTCTGTGCTACTATACTGTAGTTCTAAAGAGGCTAAGCCCTTAAAATAATCTGCAGATCAGATGTTTCAGCTGTATTTAGGAATAGATGAAAGCAGTAAAGGGGATACAGTACCATATCAGAATAGAACTGAAATAATTCCTTATGCTTGCACAAATTACTGCAGGATCTGACAGCTGCAAAACCCAATTTGCAGTTACAATTTATGCAGAACACAGAAATTTCAGATACACTTATACGGTTCTTATCATACATCCTGTCTAGTTGGTACTTTTACTTGTTGCAGCATACTGTATTATTCCTTAAACTCCTCTCAGAGCACAGAGAAGGTCTTGAGCAGCTAAAATTCTCAGGGTAATAGGATAAAGCAACATGAATACCACTAGTTGTCTTTTACATGAAATTGTAACACTGCTGTTATGACTTACGATGCTAGTTGCCATAATTTTAAATATACCATTTAGTTACAGTATGCATTCAGCTTTGAAAAATGCACAGCTAATGGAAGAACAATTGATTGCATTACTTGCCTTTGCTTGCTCATCCAAAAGAAAAATAAGAAAAACTTCCATTGTGAGAAAGGGAAGAATAAAGTCTTTAAAGGAATTTCTGCTCTTAACAAAAATGTAAGGAAAAAACAGGCAGCATTTAGAAACTCCCTAGGGAAGTGAAAGGAAGAATCATCTCAGTAGAATTTCCTCAAACTAGTCATTTCTCTTTGAACAAAGGAATACAGAAAAAAAGATAAAATAGATTTCATTTCCTTCCTTTATTTTTTCTGTTTTACTGGTCTTGCGGGTTTGAAATTATCAGAAAGCCTAGCATTGGCTGTCTTGTTGGAGATGGGGAACAAAATCCAGTCTGATCTGTGCTTTTTTGGTTTTCTTAGCTTATTTTGCTGCTTTAACAACTACAAGTTAAAGTCCAAATAAAAACCAATGGGAAGTATATAAACATTATGTGATTGATAAAGATTTCCCTTGCTAAGATACTGGGTTTACTGTATTTTGCCTTGGAGTTTCTATGCACTGTAAAAGCCAGAATGCATTTACAGGTTTTTATATGAATTTATCATTGATATAACAGCGTTTTTTGTTACAGCAAGTAAATGTTTGCAGTTTGAAAAGATTTGCTTCTGTATGTGAATTGTTGTAATTGTTTTTTGTAGAAATTAATTTTCTTTGTAGGAAATTCAGTAGTAAAGAAAGTAAGCTTACTTACAAATCTAAGACTTGGATTCTATATGAAGCAGGATTAGTATCTTCTGCAACAAAAAGGAGGCGAGGTACTATCTGGGAAAAAGCCCAGCTATTAATCAGAAATAGTTACAACTTATTTCTACCTTCACTGAGCATTGCTTTTGAAATTGTGGTCTGGAGTCTTGGCCAACATAGGCACGTTACATGAATAGATACTTTTTTGGTATTAGCGAACAAAGGCTGCGCTGAAGGCAGGCAGGAACTGGAGAACCTGAATTAAGCATGGATTATGGATCTGTTATGTGTTCATATACCAAGACTGTATTAGAGTTTGGTCACCTTGGCTGCTGTAACTGTATTTTTGTCTTGAACTGCCTCTGGCATGTTCTGCTTGCCATGTCTGTCAGGGGTTTGGTGTTTAAGTTGTCAAGCAGTTTTCTTCATCTCGGTAAGTGGTTTTGTTCCTTGTGTATCTCTGCCTAGGTTCAATCCTTCTTGCGTTCCCCTGCTGAGATAAATATTAAATAATTGGCATAGTGAGCAGTCATCTTCAGAGGCATAAACCATACTTTTTAGTCCAGATACCACATAGGATGCTCTGGAAATCTAGAAATGTACATTTTATGAGAAGTACCTGTTGCATATGTTAAAAACATTCCTACCACAGTTGTTTTGTGTATTAGTTTTATTATAGAAGCATAGCCTTTAATAGAACAGAAGTTTGGCAACCTTAAAAAACCAAAACTCTAGGCAATAATTTTTTTTACCTCATTCAATCCAGGAGATACTAAATGAGAGCCAAAACCATCCTTAAGATACTTGCTTCAAACATCAGTTAGAGCTATGTGTAAGTATCCAGAAAATAGTTTTAATAACATTAATCTGTAGTGAATGACTTACATGGGTTGGCTGAGTCTAACCATTACACTTGTTTGGCAAATTGTGTCTTCCCAAATCAAATTGTTGTTTTCTTGCAAGAGGTGATATTAGTTCCTATACCAACAATAACCTTATCCATTTCTTAAAGGAAAAGATTAAAGCCTGCAAAGGAATCCTGAAGGGCTGTTTCCGAATGCTTGAAACTGGTCACTGCAAATTCCTGCTTTCCATAGGTCCATGGTAGACACAAGGCAGTGTGAGACCTGATTGCTAGCAAAGCTTGGCGAGTATTAAAACAGTTTCCAAACTGTGAGCTCAGATAGAACGGTGTGAATATTTCCTTAGGATTGGAGACTGAAGAATCACCCAGTAGTGGGCCTGGATAATGAAGTGTTTAGCTATAGGTTGTTTGACACTTCCTGAGGAAGAGAGGGAAAACCCATCAGTATTGATGTTGACACTGAAATCAGCATCCATGTGCCTCTAACTTTTTCAGCCAAAGAAAATGAGGTTTATATTCTGCCTTTAAATTTGTCCTCAAGACTTCTCAATGCTGACTGCTGAGCAATTAGAACGAAACCAATTAGTGTCTTCAGCATAGGGGAAGTTTTTCAGCTGAGAGGTCCTCTAGGTGTTGAGCTACCCAGCATGTTCAGGCTGACCACACTTAGCCATGTTGCAGTTCTAGCTGGGAGCTCCCCAAAAATAGGAAGGGGCAAGGAGTGAGGAAGAAATTTGAGAGTGGTTGACATGGGAAGGACCTGCAGGTATTCCACAGGGGTCCTGAGGGACAAAGAGATGAAGCTGGGATGACTTGGAGTTAGATCAAACAGGGAAGACAAAGTGCAAATCTGTAGGAGAAATGTTTTTTTTTTTTTTGCTGTACCACTCAGAGGGTTTGTATAGGAATTTCTGTACAATGACTGAGAACAATCTGCCACTGCTAACCTCTTGCACAGGTGAAAACACAAAGCCAAGTGGTATGTTTCAGAAGAGAATCGGACGTGATAGAAGGGACCAGAAGTTACATCCCTGGAAGTTTTTTCTCCACTGGTTTTAAATACTTTTGCAGTCATGTTACTTACTTATGCTA